TAAAAAGCAAGCATATAGTTCTGGCATTTTACACATTTGTTGTCACATGAAAATGTCCTAAAATGAAGCAAACGAGAGAAAATTTGGTACAAATATACATCTTACTCAGTCCTTTTCTTGTATTCAACAGTTTATTAGTGAGTTTGATGTTTGACACCCAGAAATCAATAATAAATCTGTAACAGGCAGAGGACACATATAACTTGTGTAGTTAATAGTTTATATATTGTAATGCTCAACAGACCAATAATGACGCCAGATGAATGAACATATTCATATCAATCTCAATTAACAAGGATTGATGCAGTACGACAGATTTAATTCAATAATTAAATAAATAAGCTCTCCATCCATACACACAAAATACAATCTTATAACAACTTTTTTGTTCACTTTATGTTAGTGTGATTGTTACAATGACAAATGAAACAGGGTGTTTTAATGAAACACTATGCCCCTATCAAATTCTGAAGTGGAACATTAAAACTGTACTGTGTAAGACATCTGCACTCTTTGTGAAACCCTTTTTAATACCTCTTTAGCATGGTAATGATTCTTGTTTTACTTTCAAACGTAAGTCAAAAGACAAGGTCAAGGTCACATGGTCAAACATTTTTGTAGCACCGGAAGGGTCTTGTCACAAGGACGACACATGCCAAATATGAAATCTCTGGCTTTTACAGAGCAACAGTTAAGGACAAGGTTAAAGTTGACACCAGAGAGACATCACAAAAACAACAAGCCCCCGATCTTTCGATTAAAAAGAAAGAAAAAAAAGTGGGAAGAGGTGGGCATGGAAATATTGTCGCATACCAGGACTGTGCTGGAGCCAAGAAACCTCACCAAGTTCTTCTTGTTTTAGGCACACATCATTATTAATCAACACCAACTCTTACACTCTCTTCAGTCTCTAGGCTTTATATGTGAACTTTAATTGTAATCAGTGTAGAAGTATGATGATACACATATTCCCACATTAAGTCACCTATATCACTAGTGTGTACAATGCCAAGGTTGTTTTTCTCTTGGCACCAACAATGCCTTAATCTGTATACATTTACATGTGACATGTACAACATTTGTCAGCGGGAATATTACAATGTGTAACTCCTATTTGTTTATCATTGACATTAAGACCTTGTTTTCTTTATCCTTGTAAAGCCCAGAACACGTAAAGACTGTAAAATGAAGAGATTCAGTGCTATCTAAATTTGTTCTAATAATATTGAAGGACTTCACCATAATCACTTATTCGACTCTGAAGTTTATAACAAAAAGTCAAAAAGCATATTTGGCTAAAATGGTTGAACCAGGAAAAAAAAATAATACAAGGCACAAAAATGTCTGATAAAAAAACAGATGAATAAAAATGTTCTATCAGTTCTGTTGTACATACTAAGTGAAAATATTACCTGTCAACAGATAAGTTCATTGCAGTTAGATGCCTGGCCGTATTTATTGTTCCATCACACCAAAAACGAATCCAATAAAAACAATACATTAATAGAAAACTTGACAAAAACAACCAAACTTTATCCATTTTCTATCCTACTCTTGATAGATAGATTCTCCTTACCAAGCAATAAAAACATCTAACACTAACCCACACCACAGGCCAATAATGTTTAACACTAACCCACACCACTGGCCAATAATTTCAAACACTAACCCACACCACAGGCCAATAATGTTTAACACTAACCCACACCACAGGCCAATAATGTTTAACACTAACCCACAACAAAGGCCAATAATGTTTAACACTAACCCACACCACAGGCCAATAACAACTGTTAGGGGACAGCCTTAAAATATAATGGTCCTGGGTTTCTAAAACCAGCACTTAAGGTATTAGTCTAGCACTGTCTAGTGTTACATGCCGTTATCATGACTGACCATGTTATTTAAACAGAGAATCCCAATCGACAGTAATCACACCGACCATGTTATTTAAACAGAGAATCCCAATCGACAGTAATCACACCGACCATGTTATTTACACAGAGAATCCCAATCGACAGTAATCACACCGACCATGTTATTTAAACAGAGAATCCCAATCGACACACTAATCACACCGACCATGTCATTTAAACAGAGAATCCCACTCGACACTAATCACACCGACCATGTTATTTAAACAGAGAATCCCAATCGACACACTAATCACACCGACCATGTTATTTAAACAGAGAATCCCAATCGACACACTAATCACACCAACCATGTTATTTAAACAGAGAATCCCAATCGACACAGTAATCACGACTGACCATGTTATTTAAACAGAGAATCCCAATCGACACTAATCACACCGACCATGTTATTTAAACAGAGAATCCCAATCGACACAGTAATCACACCGACCATGTTATTTAAACAGAGAATCCCAATCGACACTAATCACACCGACCATGTTATTTAAACAGAGAATCCCAATCGACACAGTAATCACGACCGACCATGTTATTTAAACAGAGAATCCCAATCGACACAGTAATCACGACTGACCATGTTATTTAAACAGAGAATCCCAATCGACACAGTAATCACACCGACCATGTTATTTAAACAGAGAATCCCAATCGACACTAATCACACCGACCATGTTATTTAAACAGAGAATCCCAATCGACACACTAATCACACCGACCATGTCATTTAAACAGAGAATCCCAATCGACACAGTAATCACACCGACCATGTTATTTAAACAGAGAATCCCAATCGACACAGTAATCACGACTGACCATGTTATTTAAACAGAGAATCCCAATCGACACAGTAATCACGACCGACCATGTTATTTAAACAGAGAATCCCAATCGACACAGTAATCACACCGACCATGTTATTTAAACAGAGAATCCCAATCGACACACTAATCACACCGACCATGTCATTTAAACAGAGAATCCCAATCGACACTAATCACACCGACCATGTTATTTAAACAGAGAATCCCAATCGACACTAATCACGACCGACCATGTTATTTAAACAGAGAATCCCAATCGACACAGTAATCACACCGACCATGTCATTTAAACAGAGAATCCCAATCGACACAGTAATCACGACCGACCATGTCATTTAAACAGAGAATCCCAATCGACAGTAATCACACCGACCATGTTATTTAAACAGAGAATCCCAATCGACACAGTAATCACACCGACCATGTCATTTAAACAGAGAATCCCAATCGACAGTAATCACACCGACCATGTTATTTAAACAGAGAATCCCAATCGACACAGTAATCACGACCGACCATGTCATTTAAACAGAGAATCCCAATCGACAGTAATCACACCGACCATGTTATTTAAACAGAGAATCCCAATCGACACAGTAATCACGACTGACCATGTCATTTAAACAGAGAATCCCAATCGACACAGTAATCACGACCGACCATGTTATTTAAACAGAGAATCCCAATCGACAGTAATCACACCGACCATGTTATTTAAACAGAGAATCCCAATCGACACAGTAATCACACCGACCATGTTATTTAAACAGAGAATCCCAATCGAACTGTACTACTGTCACAGGATACTCACACAATACAAAGACAAATGTGTGTATAAAGCTATTTACCACTGACCCAAGATATAAATAGAACAAACCATACACATAGTTATGATATCTCAGACTGCCTTCAATAAATTGAAAGTCCACTCAATACAACACATACTCATGTGTTCCTTTTAACTGTCAGGTATTACCAATGGACAAAATGATATTTCCTTACACTAAACATCCATGGACAAAATGATATTTCCTTACACTAAACATCTTTGGACAAAATGATATTTCCTTACACCAAACATCCATGGACCAAATGATATTTCCTTACACTAAACATCCATGGACAAAATGATATTTCCTTACACTAAACATCCATGGACAAAATGATATTTCCTTACACTAAACATCCATGGACAAAATGATATTTCCTTACACTAAACATCCATGGACCAAATGATATTTCCTTACACTAAACATCCATGGACCAAATGATATTTCCTTACACTAAACATCCATGGACAAAATGATATTTCCTTACACTAAACATCCATGGACAAAATGATATTTCCTTACACTAAACATCTTTGGACAAAATGATATTTCCTTACACCAAACATCCATGGACAAAATGATATTTCCTTACACTAAACATCCATGGACCAAATGATATTTCCTTACACTAAACATCCATGGACCAAATGATATTTCCTTACACTAAACATCCATGGACAAAATGATATTTCCTTACACTAAACATCCATGGACAAAATGATATTTCCTTACAATGAATATCCATAAATCAATACAACAAACAAGCACTGATGTGTTCTTAACACATTTCAAGACTTTGAACCCAATAGCAGTCCGTAACATTTTGTTACACTAAATAACACCATTTCAGTAAACAAATACAACACTACAAATACTGTCACTTACATATACCAGTATTTAATTACTTTCTCACCTAAAGTTATTACGATTAATATTTCTTTCACAATCAGACATGTCAATAAATTTTAGACCATGAGGAAAGTAAGAAATGGCCATGAAAGGTACATCACCAAAGCTACCTAATAAATATATACATTAATATAATAGACAGTAGACTGTACACTGAATTAATATCCACTGGAAGACCATACTTATCTATAATGACATGTCAAACCACCTAATAAAGTGATAACAAAACCCTATGTAAGATATAAGCACAATGATGATATCAAGTTGTTGACTTAATATCTAGGGTGCTAACCTTCTGAAAAATATCATTAATACCATATCCAACGGGAAACCATGATGTAATATACTATATTATATACCTCATGTCAAACCATTAGATATACTACTTCTATAGCTAATGGGAAACCATGATATACATAATTTACAAATCCAACAGAAAAATATTAAGTATACAATTCATAATATTCACAATATGTACTAACAAAATAAAGTGACATCTTTGGTGAAAAATGATAAACAAATACTTTGTCTTGAATAGTGACATGTAACAAGGAACAAATTAAAAAATATAAAGTTTGAAGTGAAATTTGAAAAAAAAACAGTTACAGAAGAAAAAAAAACCATGCATAATGTTTACAAATAAAATGATTACTGTAAATGTTACTTCAGGCGGTGCAAATTTTAGCTCATTATCACACTTCAGTGAATTAGCAAATGCTGCATTTGCTCGTCTACAAGGATCGCTATAAACATGAACAGCATTCAGAAATTACTGTTAGCGCACTCATATTTTAGCGCAATACTGCGAAAATATGCATGTTTACAGTATTTTGTTTTGTATATATTTCTGTAAAAACTCCTTGCAAATTAATCAATATCAGAGGAAAATTTATTAATGCTTTGGTTTCCTAGAAATCCTGTTATCACATGTGTTATATTTAAATCACTAGAGAGTTATATGTCAAGGGAGATAATTATTTCTCAAAAAAATGAATATCCTTCATAATAGTGAGCATTGCTTTCACATTTACATTATACATGATTCTGTAGACATCTTAAGAAAATGTAACGATAGATTTGCAGTACACATCATGAGATCTGTTTTACAACGAATGTTAATTTACAACATAACATCTAGTTGTATTGACCCAAATTACCCAATATACAAACCCAATGCTAAAAATAAAAAAATGATTTTGTCAGTGTTTAGAACTGACTGATTTTTTAGCTTCTTCTGCAACCTTTGATAACTTACTGAGGAATTCGTAATGATCATTAGCAGCTGCTGTAACCAAAAGTCCATCATGATTTTTCACATCCCCTTCTGTTTTGTACTTGTAGTCTATAGTATCTCCTTCAAGTGTGGTCATTTTGCCATTTAAAGCAGATAAAACAGCATTTGGAGCACAGATGTCCCATTTCTTGATAAGTGTTATATGTACATATGCATCAGCGTTTCCTCTAATGACTTCCAAAGTCTTGTAGCCTATAAAAAGAAATTCTCCATAAATAGGACATTGTCTGATAACAAGCTAATAATGTTAAGTTTTGTTTTAGAAGATTTTCTGTATCATACAATGTTGAGATGAGCAAAATATAAAACAAGAGGTCCAATGGGCCTAAATAGCTCACCTGTTGCGCAGTTTACACAGAAGACATTTTTGGTTTGTTAAATAAATTTCTACAAACTTTAAAGCATATTCCTCTAGCATGCTACTTTACAATTACCATGATTCATGATCTGTTGCTTATTAAAAAGAAGTTGATTTAAAGTTCAAACATATTTGAACAATATGGCTTTGAAAGTAGATAAAAGTGATTCATTTGACAAAAAGACTTAGCCCTTCATTGAACAGACCCAATATTAATTCTCTTGGCGTTATGGTTATTGAAAAGAAGAAAGTTCTTAAACAAATTAAATTATTGTGACAAGTGTAAGTCATTCATTTGAGTTAGTTTGCTTACCCTTCATCCCTGCTACATAGCCAATATATGTACAACGGGCTGAGGCCAGAAAAAGGAAGGAAAGACAAGGAAAAGTTGAGGCCAGACAAAAGGAAGGAGAGACAAGGAAAAGTTGAGGCCAGACAAAAGGAAGGAAAGACAAGGAAAAGTTGAGGCCAGACAAAAGGAAGGAAAGACAAGGAAAAGTTGAGACAAAAGGAAGGAAAGACAAGGAAAAGTTGAGACAAAAGGAAGGAAAGACAAGGAAAAGTTGAGGCCAGACAAAAGGAAGGAGAGACAAGGAAAAGTTCAGACAAAAGGAAGGAAAGACCAGGAAAAGTTGAGGCCAGACAAAAGGAAGGAGAGACAAGGAAAGGTTGAGGCCAGACAAAAGGAAGGAGAGACAAGGAAAGGTTGAGGCCAGACAAAAGGAAAAGTTGAGGGCAGACAAAAGGAAGGAGAGACAAGGAAAAGTTGAGGCCAGACAAAAGGAAGGAGAGACAAGGAAAAGTTGAGGCCAGACAAAAGGAAGGAAAGACAAGGAAAAGTTGAGGGCAGACAAAAGGAAGGAGAGACAAGGAAAAGTTGAGGCCAGACAAAAGGAAGGATGACTAGAAGGATGATGGATATTGTACCATGGAGTAAGAGAACTTTGGGCAGATGAGCACAAACTTACAGTTTCTTCATTAAAACTGGTTTAGGGGACCAGAATATTTCACAGTTTGATTTTATTTGAGTGGTCTATTTCAAGACAGATCAGATTATAGTAGACTTTTGTAAATATGATCAATCTCAACACAGTACATTTAACACAAGATTTGTCATTTGTGAGACAGAACATTTTACAAAAGACTTTTTTCCAATTTTACACTTTGTAAGAGATTACGTTATAATAAATATGATCTTACCTGCACCACCTGCAGGAACTATTTTGGTATCATTTCCATATGCTTTTTTGGCAATCTTCTCCACTGGCCCACTGTGTGACCGTGATACAATAATGGTTCTCAGAGGCTTTACTTTACTATCTGATGTACTCTTCTGTGAAACTTTGAGATTATCAGAGTGACCGTATCCTACCCAGGCCCAGGCTGAAAGAAAACAAATCAGTGTGTATCATATTCGTATGGGATAGAGTTTAACATGAAATAAGCACACTGATTATGACAACAGGTCATGATCAATACTGAATCAACACAAAATTACAACAAAGACATTAAACATCAGTTTTACCAGTCATTATAGTGACCATAAGTTGGTCAGTTTTACCAGTCATTATAGTGATCATAAGTTGGTCAGTTTTACCGGTCATTATAGTGACCATAAGTTGGTCAGTTTTACCAGTCATTATAGCGATCATAAGTTGGTCAGTTTTAGCGATCATAAGTTGGTCAGTTTTACCGGTCATTATAGCGATCATAAGTTGGTCAGTTTTACAGGTCATTATAGCGATCATAAGTTGGTCAGTTTTACCAGTCATTATAGTGACCATAAGTTGGTCAGTTTTACCGGCCATTATAGTGACCATAAGTTGGTGAGTTTTACCTATTTGCTGCCTGAAAGGTTTATATATAACTCCTATTCTTGGTGATCCTCTCACTGCTACACAAATCATTACTGTTACATAGTCCTGTAAGTTTTCTGAAATCCAAGTAAAATATAACCAATAATTATCAGTTGTTGTTCATATCACAATAATCAATATATTAGTAGGAGTTCATCAACACACTATCATAATACTGGTTATTTAACAGTGATGTTGTAACAATAAAAACTTGTCTCCTGTGTCCTTGCCTCTCCATATTATTTCGGTTAAGCATGCATGCATGTTGTATTTTTTACAATATTTATGAATTAAAAAAGTGTGATTAATGCTAAGCTATTATAATTGAAGGTCATCTTTAATGTGAGTCGGGAGGGTCATGGACTGCTAAGAAAAAAATTCCTGGTTTGATTACAACAATACATGCTCTTAGAGAGACAATAAGCTCAACAGGGACCTGAATGTAACCTTTCACAATGTACGGTTAATAAAAGATTTCATACATGTATACACCAGTGTGTTGATGTATATATTATGTATACACCTGTGTGTTGATGTATATATTATGTATACACCAGTGTGTTAATGTATGTATTATGTATACACCAGTGTGTCGATGTATGTGTTATGTATACACCAGTGTGTTGATGTATGTGTTATGTATACACCTGTGTTGATGTATGTATTATGTATACACCAGTGTATGTGTTACGTATACACCAGTGTGTTGATGTATGTATTATGCATACACCTGTGTGTTATGTATACACCAGTGTGTTGATGTATATATTATGTATACACCAGTGTGTTGATGTATGTATTATGTATACACCAGTGTATGTGTTACGTATACACCAGTGTGTTGATGTATGTATTATGTATACACCTGTGTGTTATGTATACACCAGTGTGTTGATGTATATATTATGTATACACCAGTGTGTTATGTATACACCAGTGTGTTGATGTATGTATTATGTATACACCTGTGTTGATGTATGTATTATGTATACACCTGTGTATTATGTATACACCAGTGTTTTGATGTATATATTATGTATACACCAGTGTGTTGATGTATGTATGTATTATGTATACACCAGTGTTGATGTATGTATTATGTATACACCAGTGTGTTGATGTATGTATTATGTATACACCAGTGTGTTGATGTATGTATTATGTATACACCTGTGTGTTGATGTATGTATTATGTATACACCAGTGTGTTATGTATACACCTGTGTGTTGATGTATGTATTATGTGTACACCTGTGATTTGATGTATGTATTATGTATACACCAGTGTATTATGTATACACCAGTGTGTTGATGTATATATTATGTATACACCAGTGTGTTATGTATACACCTGTGTGTTGATGTATGTATTATGTATACACCAGTGTGTTATGTATACACCAGTGTGTCGATGTATGTGTTATGTATACACCAGTGTGTTGATGTATGTATTATGTATACACCTGTGTTGATGTATGTATTATGTATACACCAGTGTGTTGATGTATGTATTATGTATACACCTGTGTTGATGTATGTATTATGTATACACCAGTGTGTTGATGTATGTATTATGTATACACCTGTGTTGATGTATGTATTATGTATACACCAGTGTATTATGTATACACCAGTGTGTTGATGTATATATTATGTATACACCAGTGTGTTGATGTATGTATTATGTATACACCTGTGTTGATGTATGTATTATGTATACACCAGTGTGTTGATGTATGTATTATGTATACACCTGTGTTGATGTATGTATTATGTATACACCAGTGTGTTGATGTATGTATTATGTATACACCTGTGTTGATGTATGTATTATGTATACACCAGTGTGTTGATGTATGTATTATGTATACACCTGTGTTGATGTATGTATTATGTATACACCAGTGTGTTGATGTATGTATTATGTATACACCTGTGTTGATGTATGTATTATGTATACACCAGTGTGATGATGTATGTATTATGTATACACCTGTGTTGATGTATGTATTATGTATACACCAGTGTATTATGTATACACCAGTGTGTTGATGTATATATTATGTATACACCAGTGTGTTGATGTAGTATTATGTATACACCTGTGTTGATGTATGTATTATGTATACACCAGTGTGTTGATGTATGTATTATGTATACACCTGTGTTGATGTATGTATTATGTATACACCAGTGTATTATGTATACACCAGTGTGTTGATGTATATATTATGTATACACCAGTGTGTTATGTATACACCAGTGTGTTGATGTATATATTATGTATACACCAGTGTGTTATGTATACACCAGTGTGTTGATGTATGTATTATGTATACACCTGTGTTGATGTATGTATTATGTATACACCTGTGTATTATGTATACACCAGTGTGTTGATGTATATATTATGTATACACCAGTGTGTTATGTATACACCAGTGTGTTGATGTATGTATTATGTATACACCTGTGTTGATGTATGTATTATGTATACACCAGTGTGTTGATGTATGTATTATGTATACACCAGTGTGTTGATGTATGTATTATGTATACACCAGTGTGTTATGTATACACCTGTGTGTTGATGTATGTATTATGTATACACCTATGTGTTGATGTATATATTATGTATACACCAGTGTGTTGATGTATATATTATGTATACACCAGTGTGTTATGTATACACCTGTGTGTTGATGTATGTATTATGTATACACCAGTGTGTTGATGTATATATTATGTATACACCAGTGTGTTATGTATACACCTGTGTGTTGATGTATGTATTATGTGTACACCTGTGTGTTGATGTATATATTATGTATACACCAGTGTGTTATGTATACACCAGTGTGTTGATGTATGTATTATGTATACACCAGTGTGTTGATGTATGTATTATGTATACACCAGTGTGTTGATGTATGTGTTATGTTTACACCAGTGTGTCGATGTATGTATTATGTATACACCTGTGTGTTGATGTATGTATTATGTATACACCAGTGTGTTATGTATACACCAGTGTGTCGATGTATGTGTTATGTATAAACCAGTGTGTTGATGTATGTGTTATGTATACACCAGTGTGTTGATGTATGTATTATGTATACACCAGTGTGTTGATGTATGTATTATGTATACACCAGTGTGTTGATGTATGTATTATGTATACACCAGTGTGTTGATGTATGTATTATGTATACACCAGTGTGTTGATGTATGTATTATGTATACACCTGTGTGTTGATGTATGTATTATGTATACACCAGTGTATGTGTTACATATACACCAGTGTGTTGATGTATGTATTATGTATACACCAGTGTGTTATGTATACACCAGTGTGTTGATGTATGTATTATGTAAACACCTGTGTGTTGATGTATGTATTATGTATACACCAGTGTATGTGTTACGTATACACCAGTGTGTCGATGTATGTATTATGTATACACCAGTGTGTTGATGTATGTATTATGTATACACCAGTGTGTCGATGTATGTATTATGTATACACCAGTGTGTTGATGTATGTGTAATGTATACACCTGTGTGTTGATGTATGTATTATGTATACACCTGTGTTGATGTATGTATTATGTATACACCAGTGTGTTGATGTATGTATTATGTATACACCTGTGTGTTGATGTATGTATTATGTATACACCAGTGTGTTGATGTATGTATTATGTATACACCTGTGTGTTGATGTATGTATTATGTATACACCAGTGTGTTGATGTATGTATTATGTATACACCAGTGTGTTATGTATACACCAGTGTGTTGATGTATGTATTATGTATACACCAGTGTGTTGATGTATGTATTATGTATACACCAGTGTGTTATGTATACACCTGTGTGTTGATGTATGTATTATGCATACACCAGTGTGTTGATGTATGTATTATGTATACACCTGTGTGTTGATGTATGTTTTATGTATACACCTGTGTGTTGATGTATATATTATGTATACACCTGTGTGTTGATGTATGTATTATGTATACACCTGTGTGTTGATGTATGTGTTATGTATACACCAGTGTGTTAATGTATGTATTATGTATACACCTGTGTGTTGATGTATGTATTATGTATACACCTGTGTGTTGATGCATATATTATGTATACACCTGTGTGTTGATGTATGTATTATGTATACACCTGTGTGTTGATGTATATATTGTGTATACACCAGTGTGTTGATGTATATATTATGTATACACCAGTGTGTCGATGTATGTGTTATGTATACACCAGTGTGTTGATGTATGTATTATGTATACACCAGTGTGTTGATGTATGTATTATGTATACACCAGTGTGTTATGTATACACCAGTGTGTCGATGTATGTGTTATGTATACACCAGTTTGTTGATGTATGTGTTATGTATACACCAGTGTGTTGATGTATGTATTATGTATACACCTGTGTGTTGATGTATGTATTATGTATAAACCAGTGTGTTGATATATGTGTAATGTATACACCAGTTTGTTGATGTATGTGTTATGTATGTCAATCTGTGTTTATGCATATATTATGTATAACCCTGTGTATGTTTAATGTATACATCTGTGTATATCATAACTGTATGTATGTATTATTCATTAACCTGTGGGTATGTACTATGTTTACACATAATCATGGTTAATCTACATGAGAATTACAACTCCTCAACTATTACATAACTCAAGGACTTTCTGGAAATACTTCAAACTTAACATTGTAGGGCCCATTGTTATAAGCAATAAAGTTAAATATGAGCCATAAAAGATGCAGACTAATCAGTGTACACCTGTGTACGAATATTTATATCAGGTTACCTGTGTATTCCTGAGTGGCGTCCAAGGGATCTACCCACACTGTTATGTCCTTCTTTGGCACTTTTTCATCACCCTTGATAACATTTTCTACCTCTTCAAGTGTTTTGCTGACATCGTCAATTGTTTTAAAATCAACAGGTTTTAAATCCTTCTCCTCCGATATAATCTAAAAAAAAAATTCATGATCATTTACAGAAGTCATCTATATGTTGGAAGTCAGAAATAGTCAGATTCATGTATGTTACTGAAATAACACTTATAACTAGACAAAATTCTGAATTAACAATCTCTAATGCTTAATTAAACATAAACTGATACCTGTGATCTATATTTGAAATTTTCTGAATTATCGGTCCTTCTCTCTCCGAAAAATTCAAGGTATTTTTCATGGAAAATGGTGATAAATTAATATTCTGAAATCCCAGTGGGGTGATATGATTGGTAAGGTGATGTGGAGGGTTGTGTATTACTGGTGGGGGGATATGATTGATAAGGTGATGTGGAGGGTTGTGTATTACTGATGGGGCGATATGATTGGTAAGGTGATGTGGAGGGTTATGTATTACTGACGGGGCGATATGATTGGTAAGGTGATGTGGAGGGTTGTGTATTACTGATGGGGTGATATGATTGGTAAGGTGATGTGGAGGGTTGTGTATAACTGGTTGGGTGATATGATTGATAAGGTGATGTGGAGGGTTGTGTATTACTGACGGGGTGATATGATTGGTAAGGTGATGTGGAGGGTTGTGTATTACTGATGGGGTGATATGATTGGTAAGGTGATGTGGAGGGTTGTGTATTACTGACGGGGTGATATGATTGGTAAGGTGATGTGGAGGATTGTGTATTACTGACGGGGTGATATGATTGGTAAGGTGATGTGGAGGATTGTGTATTACTGGTGGGGTGATATGATTGGTAAGGTGATGTGGAGGGTTGTGTATAACTGACAGGGTGATATGATTGGTAAGGTGATGTGGAGGGTTGTGTATTACTGACGGGGTGATATGATTGGTAAGGTGATGTGGAGGGTTGTGTATTACTGACGAGGTGATATGATTGGTAAGGTGATGTGGAGGGTTGTGTATTACTGACGGGGTGATATGATTGGTAAGGTGATGTGGAGGGTTGTGTATTACTGACGAGGTGATATGATTGGTAAGGTGATGTGGAGGGTTGTGTATTACTGACGGGGTGATATGATTGGTAAGATGATGTGGAGGGTTGTGTATAACTGACGGGGTGATATGATTGGTAAGGTGATGTGGAGGGTTGTGTATTACTGACGGGGTGATATGATTGGTAAGATGATGTGGAGGGTTGTGTATAACTGACAGGGTGGTATGATTGGTAAGGTGATGTGGAGGGTTGTGTATTGCTGATTTTTAACTTCTCTGAATAAATTATCAATAAAATATGAGATATGACATTAATATCTTACTTCATTGAATCTAGTAAACTGGAGTTATTGATATTTTAACCTGTCATATCAGCTTGTCAGTTACCGTGTTAATTTCCATATTTAAAAAAATTCACCCTATACTGATTCAGATGACAATCTGTTTATTGTCATAAAAGCTGTCATTTAAACGAATCAGTGACAATCTTTACAGTTTGCTTTAATAATCTTAATTGGTTTTTGTATTGTATTTTACATTATTTTATTGACTCTGAATACAGTGAATGATTCATTGGGTATATTGGTCCCCCAGAGTCCTGACATGTTTTAATTCAACAAAAGAAACCGGACACATTTAGGCAATGACACAATATCCTCTACAGTATATAAAATAGTCCTAAATTTGTGTAGGAATCTGGGAATTGCTCACCAATTTTCATGCTGGAATGAGCCAATTGGTTCACAAATTGTCAAACGCATCTCGAGGTGCATAAAATTATATTGTAATGGCTTTTAAGTTGGGTGTTGCTCTTTGTAATCTTCACAAATACAAGTATGATATGTGCAACAAGTATGTGTGTACAGTTAATGAGAACGCTATGTGTTACGCATTATTTGAGTTGCTTCCCTTCTCATATGAGTTACCTTTGAAAACCATATGGTTCATCAAACAGGAAACATATTGCGGATATTAATATATATATATATAGATGACAGGTAGAAGACTTTTATGTATATCTATATCAGAAGTGAACTTTTGAAATGAAATGTAGTTTCACACTAACATAAAAGTCTTGACATAATTCCTAAAATACTTTCAAACACAAGTGTTTTAATTTATTTGATTGTTATCTGAGTTTTTCCTCTCTTTAGGTGAATAAACCTGTTCTTTATGTAACCCTGGTAAAAATACTAGCCGCAATATACCACTCGGCTAGAGAGACCTTCACTTTAGCTTAATTGGTTGAGCGTCCGACAAGAAGTAAGCCAAGGGTTCCGGGTTTGATTCCTAGTGGAGGCTTGAGATGAAAAATGACCTCTGTTAAATTGGCGCCCATGTAGGGACCCGGGAATAGTACTTAGCCATGCCCCACCATCATCGCTGTGACCCCTGGAAACTCAAGGACAAGTTATTTCCTGGAGGGGGAGTATGTAACCCTGGTAAAATACTAGCCGCAATATACCACTCAGCTAGAGAGAACTTCTCTTTAGCTGGATTGGCTGAGCGTCGGACTAGTGAGCCAGGGTTCCTGGGTTCGATTCCTAGCGGAGGCATTGAGATGAAAAATGATCTCTGTTACATTTACTCCTCCAATTATTATACTGTGGAATTCATGACATCTAGTGTTAAACATCAACTGCATGTAAAAGCAATTTCTTTCAATGGTTTAGCAGTCACAGGTAGATGACAATATAATGACAAGTATCTATTAAAAATGTTGAGCTCCTTGTGCATTGGTACAGTGCATTTGTGCACTGAGAAATAAATTTGTTACTCTAATGAGTGATGATTACTTTGAAAATAATTTTTTTAAACATGTCAAACAAGAAATGCTGTTTTCATTTTGATATGGCTTGATAACCAATCCTTGTGACACTATGTATATTTGCACAACTTCATTAACTGTTGTCTAACCTTATGCTAAAATGACAACCTGTATCATTGACTGTGTTCTCTATTGACTAAAGTGCAGGTGAGCATAAATATACCCGTGTTTCATTTCTAGTCACAATATAAGCAATGGAGATGGCTTGTATCCCAAAGCTTGTGACATTAACAAATAGCCAGATAACTGAATTATACACATATTTGGTGAAAATGTTTCACAGAAATATATGTTTCTATTTCAAACGACCAAGGCAATGCGTAACAAATTTATCACTGAAAGCAGAAGCTATCACTTATACGCATGACTTTTTCATGCATGACATGTTTGATGTGATAAGAGCGGTAAATGATTATACCTGAATACCAGTGAATGCTTTCGACATCCCATATACAATTGCTCTGTGGGATTCTGAATCTCCTTCAGTTAGCATCTCCTTTGCCCCCTCCTTCGTCTTGCCTTTCACCGTTTCTCCTAAGCTGTTTTTCAATCGAATTTCCTTGACTCTTGCGCCTCCACGTCTAGCTAATTCGATGCTTGCTGTCAGGAGTTCTTTCATACTTACAGTAGGTTCCCTGTTAAACCAATTTGGAACACCAAACGCATATATGACCAAACACAATGCTACCGCTAAAAACATAGCGGCTCCTACAGGGTTCAGTTTGATGTTGGCAGGACCCATGTTGCTTGTTGTATGATGTGTGATGTGGCCGTATTGTCACCACCCTCTGTTTCGTAGTTCTATAGAACAAGGCAAACAGATCAGAGTAAATCTCTTATATCCGAATATCTCTATTTAATTATAAATATTCGGTTGCAAAAAATAATTTTGATTGATAAAATATTGCACTGTCAATTAAAAAGGCTAGTTTTATTAGACGGCCCAATTATACGAAACTAACTGTAAACACGGACGAAAAATATGGCTTCCATGGAGGTGAGTGTCAGTGAAAATTCCCAAGGGTCTGTCAGTGTTAAGCTATTTTTAGGCCTACCAACTTACTGTTTATTAATGACGTTGATTGATATAAATTTCCCTCTAATTCAAAATTTCTTATTTCATTTGAAAAATGTTTTTTCAGCAGTGACAAGTTCACATTGACAGATCTAAATTCATGTCCGGATGTGACTGATGTTCGATGGGCATCAGCTGTTCATAAGAGTGCATGTAATTAAACAGTAACGATTTGTGAGCTGATTTGCCAACAGGCATCACATAGTTCGGCTGAATCATACAAACTTCGGTTATGTTATGAAAATTTGCTACAGTAGTTTAGTTTGGGCCATAAAAAGTCTTATCGGTGTACTCAGGAAATACATGGCATTGTGGTTAAATCAGTCTCACTGTTACTTCCTTTTAGTCACTGGGACTCTGCACAAATTCGCAACCAACAGTCCACATATTTCATTAAATTGACCAAGGTTGTAACTCCTGAGAAATGATAACTGAGTTAATTATTTATATTTATTTATTTATACTAAGGCCTGAAGATCTTAGTAACACATACAATACCATTAAGAGAAATGTTTTATCTTTCCAAGTACACTGTTTTCACCAAGTTAAAACTTGAACAAATCTGAGATACATCTAGAAAGGCTGAATAGTTAGATATTTCTCTTACCCTGGTCAGGTAAATCCATGCTTTTTACTAGCGTGAGATTTCCTTGTCTGACTGGAGGGTCGAGATTCGGGTATTCACTGTCAAGACAATGACATGAAGTCACAGTAACAATTCAGTGACGTCACGTTTGCAATTAAATCATGTCAATAATGTGAAGCAATGGGACAGCAAAACACAATCTAGTACCAAACCAGTAGGGTAAAAGGAAAATAATCACTCATTCCCATGTTTGTGAGATAGGGCAATCTCAACCCTCGGGAAAAGATGTTTAAGATCCAAACACTTGGTAAGTCTTATGTTTGCTAATATAACTTAATCATCTTTTTCCTTGGATGTAGATCCACCTATCTAACCTCCAAAGGGATGAAAGATTCTATCATTCCCCATCTGGTTGTGGCAATATCCATGTACAGCTTACACCTAGCATAGGTGACAAAAAGAAAAGAATTTTGTTTGAGAAAGTGAGCACTGTGATATTCATAAATGGGTATTTTATATCACCACATACTTGTGTTCTCAATTAGCCTTGCATTTACTTCCTCATTAATTAATTCTCAATAAAAGTTTGCAATTTCACTTGCAGAAGCGGTTGCAGAAAGAGCTCCTAGCTCTAACAAAGGACCCACCAGCTGGTGTGAAGGTGGATTCAAAAAGTATATGCACAAATCTTTCTGAGTAAGTATATAAGTGTAATGTTAACAGAGAGGCCTTTATCTATTTCAATGCCTCCACAAGAATTGGAACCTGAAACATTGGCTCACTAGTCTTACACTGAAGTGATCAAGTTAAAGAGATCTCTAGCTAAGTGGCATATTGCAGCTAATATTTCACCAGGGTTACCTTCCTCCCTCCAGGAAATCATCATCGAGTTTCCAGGGGTTACAGTGATGTTTGTGAATGTAATGCTGTGTATTATTCCGGATCCCAACATAGGCATTAGCTATATAAGTAGATGTAACAGATGAGAATCATTATTTATATCAATGCGTTCACTATGATTCAGAACTGGAACATTTGGCTTTATAGCTATAGTCTCATGCTCAACTGATCGTGATAAAAAGTAAATGTAGATCTCAGATTTCTGGTCGAGCAGCATATTGTGAATACAACTAGTATTTACCAGTGTTACATATGACTTTGATGACAAATTGTGTCATTTGTATCTTTTTCTCTGTCATACATTTGTAGCTATAGATTTTAATGTGTCTTTTTACCAGGACTTACACATACATATGATAGATATATTAATTTAGTATAAAGTCTCAAATTCAGTATAGTATACAGTACATACATACCAGGAACAGCTTTTTCCATGAAAAACATGAAATGTTGTTGTAATAATAGCAAACTGGGAAGGTAGTAGTATAATAAAATTATCAAAGTATGATGTTCCTCTCACCAGACAGCAAAGACCTATTGTTCATAGAGTTCATGGTTATATATAAAGTGTGTAAGTGGTGGCTTTGCTGATAACAGCTGTGGACACGTACATATACACATGCACAGACATTTAGGAAACAGAGCATAGTCTCTTACGATTCCTGCAATATGGATACATTTTTATGAGTTGCAGGAAACCTTTTGGAAATAAAAACGATTTAAAATGAACATAGAGCAGATCTGGTTGGACTGAGGCTCCGTCCAGACCTCTTTTATTTGGATTTCTCTGTACACCTTCAGAATCTCCTGCTTTGTTATATATGTGCCACAAAGATAAGTTTCCACTTTTCAAAATGTAGAACATTGCTTGTCATACTGTGGTTACACAGTACTGAAGATGAGCAAGGTTCACTTTCTACATAACTCAGCCACAACTTTGGATGTCACACACAGCATGCTGTAGCTGTGTTAACACCAACTGTAGATTTAACCTGTTTTGTTGTGACATTCATGTATATATGTAAATATTTCATGTTTGTGTATATCTAGTCATAATGACAAGAACCTATAAGACATGAGGAAGTTTTCATTCAATTCAATTCCAGATGGACCGTTGACCTAGAGGGTGCCCCTGAATCTATTTATGAGGGAGAAAAGTTCCAGTTAATGTTTAAATTTGGTGCAAGATATCCATTTGAATCGCCTCAGGTAAAAATTTTACTAATTAAGCGCTGAAACAAACAGTAATAATCAATGATTTCCTTAACATTTAATTTTAGAATAAAACACAAAATAGAATGTGTACGTTGGACATTATACATTTTCACTGTACATGAATATAAGAGAACACATACTGATGGTGTTCTATAGGGGGATATTCCATTGGAATACCAGACTTAAAAACATATAATGATATTCGTAGTTGTTTACACCAAAGGTCCTAATGTTAATTAAAATATTTTGTGATATTCTTTTGTTGAAATAGGTAAAATTTATGTAAAATGTATATGCTATTTATATGAAACAAATGCTATTTATTTGTAACAGGTGACAGACGATATTTATATATAACAGGTGACAGATGATATTTATATATAACAGGTGACAGATGGTATTTATATGTAACAGGTGACAGATGGTATTTATATATAACAGATGACAGATGCTATTTATATATAACAGACGACAGATGATATTTATATAGAACAGGTGACAAATGATATTTATATATAACAGATGATGTTTATATGTAACAGGTGACAGATGATATTTATATATAACAGGTAACAGATGATATTTATATGTAACAGGTTACAGATGGTATTTATTTATAACAGATGACAGATGGTATTGATATATAACAGGTGACAGATTTTTTTTTATATCTAACAGGTGACAGATGTTATTTATATCTAACAGATTGTATTTATATGTGACAGGTGACAGATGATATTTATATATATATGTAATATGTAACAGATGACAGATGATATTTATATATAACAGGTGACAGATAACAGGTGACAGATGGTATTTATATATAACAGGTGACAGATGGTATTTATATATAACAGGTGACAGATGATATTTATATATAACAGGTGACAGATGGTATTTATATATAACAGATGACAGATGGTATTTATATGTAACAGGTGACAGATGATATTTATATATAACAGGTGACAGATGGTATTTATATGTAACAGATGACAGATGATATTTATATGTAACAGGTGACAGATGATATTTATATATAACAGGTGACAGATGGTATTTATATATAACAGGTGACAGATGGTATTTATATATAACAGGTGACAGATGATATTTATATATAACAGGTGACAGATGATATTTATATATAACAGGTGATATATTTATATATAACAGGTGACAGATTATTTATATATAACAGGTGACAGATGGTATTTATATATAACAGGTGACAGATGATATTTATATGTAACAGGTGACAGATGATATTTATATGTAACAGGTGACAGATGATATTTATATGTAACAGGTGACAGATGATATTTATATGTAACAGGTGACAGATGATATTTATATATAACAGGTGACAGATGGTATTTATATGTAACAGATGACAGATGATATTTATATATAACAGGTGACAGATGATATTTATATATAACATGATGATATTTATATGTAACATGTAACAGATGATTTATATGATGATATTTATATCTAACAGGTGACAGATGATATTTATATGTAACAGGTGACAGGTGATATTTATATATAACATGATATTTATATGTAACAGATGATATACATATCTAACAGGTGACAGGTGATATTTATATATAACAGATGATATTTATAACAGATGATATTTATATGTAACAGATGATATTTATGTGTAACAGGTGACAGGTGATATTTATATGTAACAGGTGACAGGTGATATTTATATATAACAGATGATATTTATGTGTAACAGGTGACAGGTGATATTTATATATAACAGATGATATTTATGTGTAACAGGTGACAGGTGATATTTATATGTAACAGGTGACAGGTGATATTTATATATAACAGATGATATTTATATGTAACAGATGATATTTATGTGTAACAGGTGATATTTATATATAACAGATGATATTTATATGTAACAGGATATGACAGGTGTAACAGGTGATGTTTATATGGGTGATATTTATATGATGAACAGGTGACAGGTGATAGCGTTGTATATATAACTGTAAAGAAAAGGTAAACTGATCCTTTGTTTGAATCTGGTGTTTATGCCTCAGCATTGACTTCTATACACAAAGGGAGGGGCAGCCAAAATCTTGGTATACTAGACAATGGGAAGGGAGGACCCTAAATCTTGTCTGGTATACCAGACAATGGGAAGGGAGGACCCTAAATCTTGTCTGGTATATCAGACAATGGGAAGGGAGAACCTTAAATCTTGTCTGGTATATCAGACAATGGGAAGGGAGAACCCTCAATCTTGTCTGGTATATCAGACAATGGGAAGGGAGGACCCTCAATCTTGTCTGGTATAGTCTGGTATATCAACAATGGGAAGGGAGAACCTTAATCTTGTCTGGTATATCAGACAATGGGAAGGGAGGACCCTCAATCTTGTCTGGTATATCAGACAATGGGAAGGGAGGACCCTAAATCTTGTCTGGTATATCAGACAATGGGAAGGGAGAACCCTCAATCTTGTCTGGTATATCAGACAATGGGAAGGGAGAACCTTAAATCTTGTCTGGTATACCAGACAATGGGAAGGGAGAACCTTAAATCTTGTCTGGTATACCAGGCAATGGGAAGGGAGAACCTTAAATCTTGTCTGGTATATCAGACAATGGGAAGGGAGAACCCTAAATCTTGTCTGGTATATCAGACAATGGGAAGGGAGTACCCTCAATCTTGTCTGGTATATCAGACAATGGGAAGGGAGAACCTTAAATCTTGTCTGGTATATCAGACAATGGGAAGGGAGAACCTTAAATCTTGTCTGGTATATCAGACAATGGGAAGGGAGAACCCTCAATCTTGTCTGGTATATCAGACAATGGGAAGGGAGAACCCTCAATCTTGTCTGGTATATCAGACAATGGGAAGGGAGGACCCTCAATCTTGTCTGGTATATCAGACAATGGGAAGGGAGAACCCTCAATCTTGTCTGGTATATCAGACAATGGGAAGGGAGAACCCTCAATCTTGTCTGGTATATCAGACAATGGGAAGGGAGAACCCTTAATCTTGTCTGGTATATCAGACAATGGGAAGGGAGAACCCTCAATCTTGTCTGGTATATCAGACAATGGGAAGGGAGAACCCTCAATCTTGTCTGGTATATCAGACAATGGGAAGGGAGAACCCTCAATCTTGTCTGGTATATCAGACAATGGGAAGGGAGAACCCTCAATCTTGTCTGGTATATCAGACAATGGGAAGGGAGGACCTTAAATCTTGTCTGGTATATCAGACAATGGGAAGGGAGGACCCTCAATCTTGTCTGGTATATCAGACAATGGGAAGGGAGAACCCTCAATCTTGTCTGGTATATCAGACAATGGGAAGGGAGAACCTTAAATCTTGTCTGGTATATCAGACAATGGGAAGGGAGGACCCTAAATCTTGTCTGGTATATCAGACAATGGGAAGGGAGAACCTTAAATCTTGTCTGGTATATCAGACAATGGGAAGGGAGGACCCTCAATCTTGTCTGGTATATCAGACAATGGGAAGGGAGAACCTTAAATCTTGTCTGGTATATCAGACAATGGGAAGGGAGGACCCTCAATCTTGTCTGGTATATCAGACAATGGGAAGGGAGGACCTTAAATCTTGTCTGGTATACCAGACAATGGGAAGGGAGAACCCTCAATCTTGTCTGGTATATCAGACAATGGGAAGGGAGAACCCTCAATCTTGTCTGGTATATCAGACAATGGGAAGGGAGAACCCTCAATCTTGTCTGGTATACTGAACATTTGGTTAGTCTTGAGTCTGTTTTTTGATGTACAAGATTGATATTATACTTAAAATAGAAAACAGTTATAAATTCATCAACGTAATTGTTCATATCTTACATATGTAGTTCATTGTCTAGATTCCCAACACTTTCCTTGATAATTGTTTTTGCAGAAACGACCACCAGATAATGCATTTTATGTGAAAACATGCAGCAAAAATCCAAAGAAAACTAGATGGTGGTACCATGGTAAGATTGATAATGATTTTAAACTATACTGAGAGGAAAAAGAAACGCAATTAGGAATTTCCAGGTCAACTACGGGAAATAGAAAAGGGTTTTAGAATGTTATTATGGTGCATCTGGAAGATAGTTGACCACTCTGTCATCTATGAGAATTTCATTCGTGTACGTAAAGTAAACCTTTCAAATTTGACGTTGATTCAAGAGTACCCCGCTCAAAATGAAGTCCCCGCGATCTGCAGTAACTGCACTAACTCTTTTGTACATTGAATTGATCGGGGTATTAACCCTCCTCATTGGTATATGATTCCATTCCTCATCCAGCGCCAACGCCAACTGAGCAACATTAATTGGAGGATTCGGCCTATGTCTTATCCTTCTGTCCAACTCGTCCCATAATTGGGGAGAGGTCAGGGCTGTATGGGGGCCAGTCTAGGGTGGGGACATTGTTTGCTGCGAGATAACCACAATAAACCCTGGCTACATGCGGCTGGGCGTTGTCCTGTTGAAATGTTAGTTGACGCTGCTGTACTAGAGGAACAACAATCGGCACCAGAACTTGATCTCTATAGCAGACGGCCATGAGATTTCCCTGAATAACGACCAGAGGAGTCTTGGTACCATGCGAAATCCCTCCCCATACCATGACCAATCCTCCTCCAAAGCAGTCGTTCTCTATCACGCAAGCATCTGCACAGCGCTCATGGGTACTTCTATAGACATGACGTCAGCCGTCTGCCCGGTAAAACGAAAAACCTGGACTCATCTGAGAACAGGACCCTTCTCCAAGGTTGCATTATGAAGCGTCTTCCGGAATGTGCGTTCTGCCATTGCATTCGTCTGTTACGTCACCGCCCATTAAGCTGTGGTCCAACATATGGCTGTCGTGGTCTTAGACCGAAGGCACGCAGTTGAGTATGCACTGTCTTGAATCATTTGGAACATGGTGACGCCCAATTGTGTTCCTTGCTGTTTCCGTGGCCATCAGAAAGCGATTGCGTAGGTGCGCAAGTCGCATTGCCCTATCCTGCCGACGTGTCGCCACATGAGGGCGACCACTTTTGGGACGGTCAGCTCCCCTTCCGGTGGCGTGTAGTCTTTGCATGAGACGGCAAATGTTCGATGGATGGACTCCAAATTGATTAGCGACCAGATTTTACCGGGTACCTTGCATAAGAAGTGCAATGGCACGACCCCTGTCAACTTCGGACAGTCGTGGCATTTTTTACAGTGAACTGTTTATGCTTAAAATTTTGGAAATCAAGACAAATATGTCTGAAGATTCGCACACACAGATTTTGAACCAATCCTTTATACTGGGTTCGAGATATCGTGCCTTTGTCTCTTATTCTTTTGTGCATCAGTGATTTTAATATGGTACCATAGGGACCTAACTCCAATGCACACATTTGTCAAGTTTCAAGGGTGTACGGCAAAGATTTAATTTACAATATTAACTTTCTGCTAATTGCGTTTCTTTTTCCTCTCCGTATATTTTGCATGTATTATGATATAGGTTGGTCATCACATTCTCCTCAGATCTGAATAATTGTTGATGACGATGAGAAACATGTTAAGTATATATATATATTCATATATATATCACTGAAATACTTGGTTTTAATCTTTTACTGTTCCTAGCATCATTATAACACAATTGTTAAGCTTGTACATTTGTATTCCATGAATTGATTTGAGTAGTTAAACATATTTTGGACAATAACAAAATACTGAAGCTTCTTACTCATTATAATTGAACTTTTTAATATTTTATAGAAAAAATTTTCAGAATTGCTAGTGTTTAGATTAATGGGATTTGATTTCTGACATTTGGCAGAAGCACAATTTTGAAATCCTTGTAAAATGTTCTACTTGTCTGCAGGTGATTTCTTTGGCATAGAGAACGATGATTTGATGGTTCATCTTAGTATTTTTATATTGGAAAAAGTGTTTCAAATTTCATGTGGTGTTTGGCATTTTGTTGGTTTTTTTTCTTGTAGATGATGATGTATGACAATTTAGGGACAGGAGGGACACATTCACGGAACCACACTTAAGGAATGGATGGGAAATGACACATCTTCAATATGGTTGGTAACCAAGACATGATACATCAACTATATGGTTGGTTACCAAAAATTGAGACTTGACACATCATCTATATGGTTGGTAACCAAGACTTGACACATCATTGATGTGGTTGGTAACCAAGACTTGACACATCATCGATATGTTTGGTAACTAGAGACTTGACACATCATCGATATGGTTGGTAACCAAGACTTGACACATTAAAAATATGGTTGATAACGAAAGACTTGACACATCAACAGTATGGTTGGTAACCAAGACTTGACACATCAACAATATGGTTGGTAAACAAGACATGACACATCATTGATATGGTTGATAACTAAAGACTTGACACATCAACAATATGGTTGGTAACCAAGACTTGACACATCATTTATATGGTTGTTGTCCAAAACTTGATTGACACATCAACAATATGGTTGGTAACCAAGACTTGACACATCAACAGTATGGTTGGTAGCCAAGACTTGACACATCAACAATATGGTTGGTAAACAAGACATGACACATCATTGATATGTTGGTATCCAAGACATGACACATCATTGATATGGTTGGAAACATAGACTTGACATGTCATTGATATGGTTGGTAACCAAGACATGACACATCACTGATACGGTTGGTAACTAAAGACTTGACACATTATTGATATGGTTGGTAACTAAAGACCTGACATATCATCGATATGGTCGGTAACGAAGACATGACACATCATTGATGTGGTTGGTAACCAAAAAAATGACACATCATTGATATAGTTGTTGACCAAAACTTAATTGACACATCAACAATATGGTTGGTAACCAAGACTTGACACATCATTGATATGGTTGGTAACCAAGACTTGACACATCAACAATATGGTTGGTAACCAAGACTTGACACATCAACAATATGGTTGGTAACCAGAACTTGAAACTCACTGGAACCTGGATGTGTCCTTTGTTATATTCACTTTTTATTTCCGCTTAAAATTGGGCAGTTACGGCTGTGATGTATGTTGTCAACCTGTTAATGTTATGACTTTTTAAATGTTTTTAAGAATGTATATACCTTGCCAATAATACACGAGGTCTCTGTCAAAGTCTTACTGGTAGTATCAGTATTAACAAATACTATATCCTTGATAGTGTAAAAACTCATTCAATCTATAACATCTGTGATGTCAGTATTGAACATTGATCTGCCAAAATAGTTCACAGGTGAAATTACAGATTAAACAAAAACATTCTTGATAGATACAGTAATTTGAGTATGATATACACATTACATACATATAGAGTTGCCCACCTCTAGTCATCTCATTTCTGGTCATACCCATTCAAAATAAAGGTTGAATGAAATCATTAGAGGGTCCTCAAGGAAAAACTCCTTATAATGAATAAATTTGTTTGTATTAAGTAATGTTCTCAATGTTTGAACACAGATTAAAAGTAAATAAATATCACATTATTCAAACCTTTCAATATTAAACAGGTGATGATGTAGCCAATATCAGGATGCTCTGAAAAAGTTAGGCGAGTTGGTGATACTATACATATATAGAAGACCCAATATTGAGCTCTAACAAGGGAGGTAACTCAAGGTCTGTCTTTGCATAGTCATCTGTTTAGATACGTAGATGTCATACAAGTATATATATGCATATTCATACACACACACATATATACATATTAAAGATAAGTAATATTTATATTCATCTAAGAGGTTTCTCTGTCCAAGTCGTTCATAGGAATTCAAATATCATGAGAACAGACATGAATTTGCAATATTAAATAACATTCTCTGTATCATTTCTATAGATCTAGCTTTCCCTGTTTGGATTTTTAGTATGGATGGCTTGTTAAACATGACCACACTGTATTACACATGATCAGCTAATTTTAGAAATGTTATACTGACATTGTATGATTGTCATTTTTGTTGTGTATACAAGTTAATAAACCTGAATGTATGTGATATTGAATACGATATAAAGGATAAATATTTATATGTTTATTTGGTTTTAACTGAGATATTTGTTGTATAAATAAATGCAGTTTGATTGTAAGAATAAGGTAGAGGGTGCCCTTAACAGGATACTCTCATTTAAAAAATTTGTGTTATTGAATTATTGAAAGAAAAAGAAAAATCTAAAAATTGATGAAAAGCTTGCTTTAACTTGATTGTAGTTATGAATTTTGATTAGATGTGATAATCATAGACAATGTCGATTTCATTGGTTGATGAATCGGATTTACCTGTAGTAATTTAAATGTACAAGTTTAGAGCAATGCTGATGAGGTTGCAAAGTTTATGGTGTTTATGTAATGATATTGGTTAGACCATAGGAATTTGTTATTTAGTATGTAAAATAAAGACTAGCTCTGCATCATCATACAAAGCTAGTTTTCAGGTCACCTGAGACAAAGTCTCGGGGTGATCTATTGCGATCCCCTTTTATCCAGCATCACGTGTTTTAAACTTTTAACATTTTCGACTTCTTCTGGAAATTGCCTAAACCAAATTTCGATGAAATTCTACAAAAACCTTCCATGGCTAAAACCACACCAAAATTATAAATTATATGGTACCCAATCCCCAGGGGCCTGAGGTGCAGCTTCAAAAACTTCAGAAATCTTCTGAAATTCTAGGTATGGTAGATTTAAGAACTCTTCATGGATGGAAAGTCCTTCAGATGGTTTAACGAAATTGTGAATTTTATGACCCCTGGGTCTTGCATTTCCCCCATGGGAGGGGGTAAAGTTTACTAAAGTTTATATAGGAAAATTACATTTTTTAACATTATTTGTTTATTTTCTTTTTGAAATAGTTCAAACCTGGTTAAAATTATTAGTATAAGATGACAGTTTAATGAAATGCAGATATTGACCTCATCTGACTCCCAGGAGCTGTTGGGTGGGGCCAAAAATGGGTCATATTGACTGAAATTTCAGAAACC